AATTGTGTTGAAACATTTTGGAGCAGTAAGTAACGTCAGAATATGTTTAAAATAAAATATTCCATCCCAATCAAATCTAGGTCAAAGGGTCAAATTGCGTGCATATAATTATAGATAGCTAAAAACTAAATATATTTGAATGTTTGACGGCTATTCAACATTTGTGCAAACCAGAATAAAAAAAGGTAGTGTATACAATAGCGATATGACTGAGATATCATGGCATTTGTTTACAATATTGTACCGGCTCTAGTATTTGACACAGATAAAGTTGTTCGCGAACGATACAGAGTGGTGTAGATTTGAAGAGCCGTTCAGAATATTCTTTGTATATCCCCAAACATTTTGTCTACTCCTGTGCCGGTGACCAGTGTTTGGACGAGCGGTCGGTGTTTTCAATAAGCGAGGCAGAGAAAAAAAACGGTAAAAATGTGGTAGTTTTCCGGTCAGAAAATACAACTGTGGTTCAAGTGATATTAGCATATTTCTCATTTAGTTTTAAATCGTACAATATTTATTCACTCACTGTTTACTATAGCCAGAACGCTGTACTGTCTTCACTTTCAGGTTAGTTCTTCCGCCGATTTCTCGCAACCAACAACGTGATTTTTTATTTGGGATTTAGAGAAACATAACATGAATCGTTATGGCATTCATAACACAACACCTTGCCATATTTCAACTTTAAGGTAGTCAGTAAACAAGGCCTTTCATAGTAGCATTTCTATGGGATTGACATACTAGAATGAATGGGTTCAATTATTAGTGTTCACTGATGACGTAATTTGACTGGCCTTCTAGAGGCGAAATGACGCCAGGAAAAGCGGACGTTTGTTGTCTGCTTCACAGCCCGTTTTATAGTCGATATTTAGGGCATTTCCCAGCACATACAAGTTATTTTTATCAACAGAATTCATTCATAGTTCTCAAATTTCATGTACAGAGTGTCAAAAGCCACACCTCTGCCCCCCCTTTAAATCCTCCCAAAAATCATCTTTTCTGAGGTGATCCTCAAGTATAAGCCCGCCCTTTATTTTCCTCGATTTTACATGTTGAGGCTCCTGGGCTTATGATCTGGGAAGTACCATAAATATACTGTACTCGACTGCATTAGCTCCCATGCCAATCCAAGCGCCCCCCCCCCCACTTTTGCGCAATTTTTATATGCAGGGTCACATTTGGCAAAGCACCCACCCCTTCAAAACGCAACTAATTTAAAACTTGGTCTTGCTTAACGAATCTTGGTAATCATTTTTATATAATAAAGCGTGGATATCGACCGCTGTGAATATGTTGTGAATGCGTAGACCACGGTAACCGTGTGTAATGGCATCATGGCGGAAAGTGATTTTCATCGAGAATTTGTGTACAATCCAACACATTCGTCAGTGGAGATAACCATGAGAATTTTGACTCTGACTGTGTTCCAACAGTCACTAATGTTTTTAATTTCGTAAATTCTGGTGGTACGTAGTTAATATTGTAATTTTTTGTGATCATTTCTGTTTCTTCATTGTAAAAATCAATGACGAGGCAACTAATTTCGTAATTTGTCTTTCCCTCAAAGACATAATATCCCCCTCAATCTGTCACATGATGAATCAAAATTTTCATTTGCACTCTTTTTCGAGGGGGGGGGGTGCTCGGGTAAGCATGGTTGAGTACGGTAATCTCATGAGGAGCAAAACTCTCATGCTTTGTGAGACTTGAAAGCACTCCTATTTCCTGTATTTTAACCAATAGTGTCACAGAATGCAAGGGACACTTATAAAAGTTTGAATGAAAAATAGAAAACACATATATTACCGGTACACGCTTTTTGTACCACTACTAAAAACGAAGAACTGAGATGAAAAGAAGTCAGTTCTTTCACAGACTAATACTAATTTTGATTAGAATTTCTAGAAATTTTGATTTCTTAAAAGTCCTAGGTATTAGTAATTTCATCACATGTTGTAGATATTAACAGTCAATTCCTAGCAAGCGAGCACAACTGAACAGTGTATCAGTGAAACAGTGCATTTAATAAAAATAGGACTAATGTATAATCATAAAATGTTGAAGTACGCAAACAGCAAACGTCAGGAGTTAGTTTACATGCAAGTTGAACTAGATTCAAGATGGAGTCATTCAAGCCTTGACTGCTTAACACTTTGTTAATTTTTTCTCAAATTGGGATAAATATTTGTTCATATTTTCTGTTTTTTTCATTGAATTCAGACTAAATGTGACATTACTTCTAGTTTTTGATCAAAAAATTTGTTGTCAAGCAATCTATAAATGGAACTATTTTGTAGGTGGTGCCTGAATTTGACTTTGGAGCTTAAAGGGTTAAAATAACTGAAAAAGAAATATTCCAAGGTTGAACAGCATGCAATCCATTGACAGAGAATGTTTTCCCTCCCAGTGCATAGCATTTGAGAAGATGTTTTATCATGAATGAGCTACTCATTAGCACAATTTATGCAACTGACAGGAAGTGCACTATTTCAAAACTCTCAGGCTACTTATAATTTCAGATAAATGACAACACTGACTTGACCTCTGACATTTGACCTTTGACTTACCAATACCATTGGCATGTAAATGTTGGATATCACTCGTAGCTTTCATCATATTTAATATGATGTTCCCATGGTTACCATTAAGGAAATCACTTGTTCTTGATTCTGGTGGGCCTTGGAGTGGGAACTGTGAAACAAAAATATTTCCACAAGTGAAAGATCTTGTATTAGGTACCTATCATGTTACCAATTTAGTATCTGCAGAATTTTTTATTTTCATTTAAAATATACTTCATGCTATGAAATGCATCTTGAAATAATATATATTTTATTATAAACTAATTAATTGAAAATGTTCTACCACTGGATAAGTGGAAATATCAAAATTACACTTATCGTAACAGTAGTTAGACACACATATCTTGTTGCTAAGAAGTCAGGCAGACATGTCTTGTCAATAAACAGACACACAGACTTTATTGCCAAGTAGTCAGTCAGACATATTTTGTTGCTAAGCAGACACAGACTTTGTCGCGAAGCAGACACACATATTTTGTTGTAAGCTGACACACATATTTTGTCGCTAAACAGACACACATATTTTGTCGCTAAGCAGACACACATATTTTGTCGTTAAACAGACACACATATTTTGTCGTTAAGCAGACACACATATTTTGTCATTAAGCAGACACACAGACTATATCGCTGAGTAGTCAGACATACATATCTTGTCGCTAAGCAGACACACAGACATATTTCGTCACTGAACACAGACAAACAAATAAACTTTGACGCTGTGCCAGACATACTTTGTTGATCTGCAGACAGACACATAGTGCTAAGCAGTCAGACTTTCTGGACATACCTTTTTATGCGTAACTGGATTCTTCTCCAGTTGTTCAAGATGTGTCTCAAACTCATTGACAAGCGTCTTTAGAATCTCTCCCATGTCTGGCGTTTCTGTGCCATTCTTATTTATATTGGTATTGACCGTGGGAAGCAGTAACCCAGCGGCTGTGAGAATCCGCAACACCAAACTCTGCAACTTCAGCCAACCTTTTTCTTGCTCAGTTGAATCTTTTTTATCTTCCTCACTGCATTGCCTGGTGGAATATTAATATTGGAATATTATGTTTCATTGTGGTGAACGATGATTAAATGATTTCGCAAATTATTGATGATTTCACAAAAGGAAACCAGGTGACTGCCATGAGCTAAGAATACACAAACAAACATCATGAGAATGTCTGCCACAATAGTTTATTGTCACAACATACATACATGCAAACTTACTTTTCCTCGGAATCATAGGACACTAACAGAGTAAAATCTCTGTTATCACTCAGCTCATCCCAGACAATTTCATCTGAAAAATAAACAAGAATAATATTAAATTTCAATGCTAGAAAATTAAAACAGTGCTCTTGAAACAACCAAATGCTACCGGTCACAAACCAAGTAATGATAAAAAAAACCACCAAATGTTACAAGTAACCACCCAATGTTACCAGTAACCACCCAATGTTACCAGTAACCACCCAATGTTACCAGTAACCACCCAATGTTACCAGTATCCACCAAACGTTATCAGTAACAAGCAATCATTACCAGTAATGACCAAATGATACGTAACTAAAAACTGAATGCTACCAATAACAAATAATGTTACCAGTACCAACTAAATACTACCAGTAAAACCAAATGGTAAATTATTAGCCAAAAGCTACCAGTTACAACAGAATGCTTCTGGTAATAACCAAATTCTACATTTCACTGTAAAGACTAACCTTTTTCAGGATTTATCTCCATATATCTAATTAAATCTTCAAATTTTAAATTGTTACTGTAAAAAAAACAACATCGAAAGTTTGTGAATTGTCTATGACTCGTGGTTCAATGCTTTGACCAATGCACAACACTCACTGCTAAAAAAACAAACAATTTTTTTTAAAGTTTACTTACGCATTTGCCTCTAGTAGTAACTCTGAAATCATCTTTTCAACAGTTATTGTTGTGTAATGCAGAGAATTATTCAGCTTTTGTCGAAATTTCACAAATTCTGGAATTTTTGGAAATGATCCATATTTGTATGCTGAGATGATGTACTCTGTGGTCTAAAAAAAATCACATACAACATACGAAAGGCTTTTTATACTGAAATAGTTTTTAAAAAGATATTCTATTAGCAGAACAAATTAAAGTGGGAGGGTCGTCACCTGTGCATGCGTGGGAATTGAGTCCCAATCGACGATAACAACACACGCTAAAATGCAAAGGCTCATGGGTAGACGCTTGTTTGTAAACAATGACACACTATGGCCATCTGACACATGTGCAGGTGACAACTCCCTCGCTTTAAGATCATGACCCCAAGATAAACTACCGTACTCGACCGCGTTAGCGCCCACCCCCCACTTTTGCGCAATTTTTATATTTGGGATCACATTTTGCAAAGCGCCCACCCCTTCAAAATGCAATTAATTTAAAACTTGACGACGCAACTAATTTCGTAATTTGATTTTCCCTCAAAGACGCAATCTGTTGAATAATCAAAATTTTCATTTGCAATCTTTTTTGAAGGGGTGCTCGGGTAAGCGCCCACCCCTGAAAAATCATGATTTTCTGAGTTAAGGCCCCTGGGTGCTAACGCGGTCGAGTACGGTAATAACTAACTGCATCATTGGTGATCAAAATAAATTCCTAAGGTTTGTTATGACAAATGTATATCATTGCTAGAACAATAAGTAATGAAGACAAAAGTACTCACATCTTTATGATTCACTGTGAAAAATTTGAGTGTATCATTGTAAACCCCTGAGACCAAGTGAAAATGACCAAGAGGTGCACAGTGTCTTGTCACTATGTATCTGAAATCAACAACACAATTAACTATTTAATTCAGTAATAAACCCAACACCTTGAAAATACAAAAAAACTAACACAAAAATACAATTTTATCTGAAGTTTTTGTTTTGTTATCCCATTTTTGTCCATAACGTGAAAATTCAAATAAAATTGAGCGATTTACATGATGCTTGGCAGACATTAACCTATAGATTATAATATATACAAAAGTAGGATATTCTTGACTGGCTGAAAACGCTAAAAAAAACGACCAAACCATGATGAATCAAAGTCTATCACCATGAGAAATTCGCCCTACGACCCCTCTCCTTAAACAAAATGCCTTTCATTTTTTGGCGAACTTTTGACAACTTTGGAACACCTTTTACCAAAAACTGTGAATTGAGTGAAGTTAAAAAAAATACAAGTGAGTTTCTACACCATATCACACACTATATGACAATTATGACACTGATATGGGAAAACAAGGATACGTACCCGATCGTATCTCGTTGCACGTGTTTGATTTCCATTTCTTCGTACAATTGCAGACAAGGTCCAAACGCACCTTGAAGTGAAACAGACAAATAACTGAGTAACGTCATTAAATGTACAAGATGATAGTACACCACATGGTGTGTATGACTATTTTACTAACAGATAACATTTCCAGAAAGAACATGCTTCAATGTTGTCTAGATTTATAATGTACCATAAAATTCCTAATTGAGGCCGCGGCTTAAAATAAAATTCATTTTTTCAATGGACGAATTCAGATGCGTGAAGTCTTGGTGCGGCTTTAATAAGAGCATTCACTTCAGTAACAGTGGGAATTTTTTTCAGAAAACAAAGGCCAGAAGGGATAATGATAAGCTAATGAAATGCACGACACTCGATTACAACTTTGTTGCAATTCCAAGCACACTTTCGGATTTTTACATACAGACAAACTTATACACAAACGAAATTTCACACTGTATAACATACTGCACAATAAATAATATCTACAAATAGATTTGTATGCATTTGCAGATTAATGTACCATACATGTATACTACAATCTCTTGAGTAGAGGTCATTCTAATTCGTTAGCACTGGTATAGGTCAGACCTGAGAGAGAGTCGTCTGACAGTCGATTTCGTTCGACTATTGGCATGTTCAACTTCTGGCAGAGTGACTGCACCTTCCATGTTTAATTTAGACATCAGGGAAATTACATTCAATCAAAAAAAATGTTCACACGATAACAAAAAAATACTCAGTATGTTTAATGTAATATGTATTTATTTTATTTTTTTTGATAACAAAAAGTATATTCTAAAAGAACTAAAAACAAAAACGAATGCATTCGTAGCAAATGATCACGGTAAGGCAATCCAGCCAGTGATGCTACGTTTCACACAAGTGAATAACTTAGGCAGAGGGTTCTCTGAACCCGCCTATTCACATAGTTCATACCCACCATAGACTCTGGTCAGTCAAAATGACTATTTTGAACTGTAGGCATTAATCAGCAA